CTCCTGCCTTCCAGCCAGTCTGTACTTAAAGCTGAGAAATGACACTGAGGAACCAGGAAAGAACATATTCTAATCAATTTTGGTTAGATCAGATAAGCAATTTATTTTATTCAGCTAGATGATGACTTTTTAAAACTATGCTTTCTGCTTTTTAAAAAAAATCATTTATTGCTCAACTCTTACTATTTTTTCAAACATTTGAATACCATATATAAGAAAATTACATTTTACGTTGCAATCTGTTCAATATGAATGCATCAACACTCACATACTATTTTGCGTATCCTTAACAAAGTTTCCGTAAGTCAGTAACTGTTAATTGTACTAAGTTCATGGTTCCTTTTTTACCTCACTGAAAATAAAATAAACATTAAAATAATAAAAATAAAAACAAGCAAAACACCAATGGCTAACAAAGGAGCTAACAGACTTATACAATGAAAACTCTGAGGCATTCTTAAATGAAGCAGAAAGATGTTCTTTGTTCATGAATTGAAAGAATTAACATTGCTATATAACCAGCTTAATGAAAGCTGTATACAGATTTTTTTTTTTTTACAATATACAGATTCAATGCAATCCCCACCAAGATTTCAATGGCAACCTCACTGAAACAAAATGAACATTACTGACATTTTTTGGAACCACAAATCATTCTAATAGCCAAACAATTCTGCAAAAAAGGAAAAAAATGGATATATCACCTTTCCAAGCCTCAAACTAGACTAAAAAACTATAGCAATTAATAGATATTGTGCTGAAACTAAAACAAACAAGTAGGCCTAAGAAAGATGCACACATTGTCCATAGCCAAGCCCTGACAAGGCAATGAAGAACATGCATTGGAGAACGACAATCTCTTCCACAAGCGGTGTTGGGAAACTGGACAGTCACTGAAAAAGAATGAAACTAGACCACTGTCTCACAATTTATACGAAAATAACTCAAAATGGATTAACCACACAAATATAAGACCTGAAACCATTAAAAACATTGAAGAAAACACAGGCTAACACTCCGGAGCAGCAGCTTCAGCGACGTCTTTGTGGCCTGTCTCCAGCAGCAAAGGGAACGAAGTCATTGTAAACAAGCTAGATTATCTCAAGACAGCAGGTTTCTGCACAGCAAAAGAGAACATCACTAAAGCAAAAAGAACCCATGGCTACGGGAGAAAATGTTTGCAATCATGCATTGACAAAAGGTTGGTCGCCAAGATCTATATATCAATAGAATTCACACAATTTAGCAAAAAATATGACAACCTAATCAAAACATGGGCCAAAGAGCTGACTAGACGCTTCTCCAAGAAACTGTATAAATGGACGGCAGGAACATTAAAGAAAAGTTAATCATCGAGGCTAGACCATGGGAGCTGAGGGTTGTAGGACAAAGTGGATGGCCAGATGATAAGGGGGAGAACTGTGGGTACCTTGGGGTGTCACTTGGTGACGTGCATCTCAGGAGGGTGAGCCGCTGTCTCTGAGTCATGGACACGCTGTGCATCAGTGCTACCTCAATGGAAAGGTAAATGAATACACATTGAGTGCAGTCAACATCGTTCAAACAAACATACGATTATTTTCCCTGTTTTTTGACCGGGGAAGAGTCTGTGCTATTCATTACTGACCTGTCCATACGAAACCTTTCCTTGATCACTGCTCCAAATTTCATGTGGACAAACACAGCTTTCTGGAACAGCTGTGAAGAGTACAGGCAGGAAAAACATTCTCAGATTTGAGTGATAAACAAAACCAAGCCCGATATGAAAGGGACATTGCCAACCAACAGGCATTACCTTGAGGGGGCAAGGTCCTGATTCTCGACAGGCCTCTATTCCTCAAAAGCTTTGTGAATTCTTTTAGCAGAGGACAAGAGTGCTGGAGGAAAATTACAGTCAGATGCTTCTAAATGAGATCTCTACCGTGGGGGCCTGACACAGCTTCTCTGAGCTGGCACTTAAGGAGGAAAAAGGACCTAGGTCTCTGGCTTACTTCCCCTCCGGCCCCTCCAGGCCACCACAGCCTTCTTGATCAAGGAGAGTAACAGTAGAAGATAATACCTATTTCTTCCATACATGCAAAAAGCTTCAGAAAGCTCAGAGCATTTCCTTGTTCTCGACTTTGACATGGAATTGGAAAATGATTTTCTCCACACCTAGTAGTGAGGTGGAAGTGAAAGGACTGT